GCGGAACACATCCAACCAAAATTAGGAACAGCAGAATCGGTCGGGCAAGCTTATCCAAAATACATGCTATCCCCCTGAACTTCCTACTCCCTCCTGTTTTACTCCTAATATTACTAATTTCATTCAAAAACACCCAAGCGTCCTCCCTATTCAGCCACCCCTCTCAGGGTCAGTCACATGATTAGCAGCAGCCCTATTCTCGGGCTCAGAGACACGTGATGCCCTTCCCCCTGGCGCAGATGCGACCTCAAAGATGCTCTGCATCACACGAAGCTCCGCAAGTTTTTTCACTGCTTCGTCTTTCCTCTCTCTCCACTCCACCCCTTCCTTCTTACACATCATCTTGAGTTCGGTACATGCCTTCTTCCCCAAAAATCTGACGATCGCTACTTTATAGCTGACCTTGTTGTTAAAGTCCGCTGAATCGGGGCTCCTGTCCACGGATCCTGGATCAGAGACTGCGTCTCCTTTTTCTTTGGTCCGCCCCTCGGTTTTCTTTCTGGCTCAACTGAAGATACCGCCATAAACACGGGCTGCCTGGACGTGCTGCCTCTGGCCGACTTGGGAGGTGTCTCAACGGGAGGGCTAGACTCCGTACCTCCTTGTTGAGTCGGGGCACGCTTCCTTCTCCTGTTCATACACTCTTCCTCTTCAACATTGTGCTCTTTGTCCTCTTCGCCCGGCCATTCCTCCCATTCTTCCTCAACATTATCCTCCATAAGTTTCTTTCCTCCTGTTTTTACCATATCTATGATCTCCTCGTTGACCGCCTTCTTAACCTCTTTTCGTAGGAATACTCTTTGTTCGCTGAACATCTTTCGAATGTCCCACAATTGATCCGCTTCCTTTTTAGCTTCGTCCTGCTTCTTCTCTAACTCGATTCGTTTCGCATCCTCTTTTTGGATCCTTTCCAACTGCATACGTTTCCGGCGCGCTTCTTCTTCTTTCTTCCGTTCCTCCTCTTCCTTCTTTGCTGCTTCAGCCTTGTTTTTCTCTTCCAGCGATAACTTAAAGAAGTTCGCCATGGCTCCGAAGGATTCTTCCAATTCCTTGCTGAGAGCAACCGTCGGTACAGCCGCTTCTGTTCCTGACGCGGTAGGCACTCCATCGTTCGAATGACCGCTTCCGGGTACATTCCCCATACCGAAGCTTCCTCCCCCTCCCCCTCCTCCTCCTCCTCCTCCTCCTCCTCCTCCTCCTTGGTAGAAGTTCCCTCCTCCCTGCCTAGGCATCGGGCAGTCCCGAGCATAATGACCAAACTGGCCGCAGTTAAAACATCTCACTGGCCTCCTTTGGCCATTCCCCCATCGTCCTCCATTCCAGCCACCATTACCTCCTTGCCCCGAGTTCCATCCTCCGTTATTCCATCCCCAGTTTTTTTTTCCCCCCGGGGGTCCGGAAGCCCAGCCTCCGCCCCCGCCATTCCCTCCCCCACCCGGGTATCCGCCATTGTTCCCCCATCCTGGTGGTGGTCCCCAGTTTCCTCCGTTTCCTCCGCCTCCTCCTCCTCCATTCCAACCTTGCGTCAGGCCGTTCCACTGTCCCGGTCCTTGGTTCCCGTTATTGCCTCCGGCGTTGTTCTGATCCATTGCTCTCCTAGTAACTATTCTCACTGACTAGTTCACGCCGTCGTCCTCCTTATAGCAGATCGTCGCCAATGCTTCCTCCTTTCAATATACAGCCGCGCTCATCACCTAGCCTTCACTGCCACCACTTTCAAGTGACTCACTCGACAGGTTGCAGTGCCCTTCTTCAGAGGAAAGAAAGGGCGAAACAGATTCGCCGCAGCCAAGAAAGCACCCGATATCAACGCATGACACACAATATCAACGCATGACATTGAGCAATCTTTGGCCAAAGCCCAAGAGGGCCAACATCCGATAGATTGAAAGAATTAACGACAACATCGTCAACCAACTCCCACCATAGCCGTCAGATAAAATCGAGACATACACCGCACACACGTCCTTAAAGTTGCCAATGCCCTGGCATTCCCCAACGCGTTTCTGTCGGCGCCAGGTCCGACTTCGTCAGGGGGTTAGGCTCCTCCTTGGTGAATCGGCGACGGTCAACCGTTAATTACGATTGTCGTCGCCATTATTCTAGATTATTCCTAGCCCTTCCCTAAGTCCCCTTATCTCTACCCTATGTTCTGATACCTTTCCCACTCTGAGGCCCTTTTGTCCACAAATTTGGCCAACACTTCGAAAAAGAAAGGGCTCGGATATTCGAGCAACCTCAGTTCACGTTAAAGCGACAGTAGAGGAAGCTCAGCCAGACCCATAGTCGAAGTACAAGTTCGAATCCTGGCAAACGCGCTATTTACTAATGCCTTCTTCTGCTTAAGATCCGAGAACGATCCGAACCCCTACATAGACCTGTACGAAAAGTCCGCAGACCAAATATTGTCCTCATTTTTCCCTTTGTACCTAATCTCAATACGGTTCGGGTTCTTGCATATCCTCAATTCATAGCCCCGGAAAACCCAGGTCCCTTCCCCTGTGTCCGTTCTAATCAGTTCCAAATTGCTGTCATATATCCTTCCTAGTTTTTTTACTACTGCATCGGCCCTTTGGGCTCCGTTTTTGGTATCCCCTTCCCAAATAAAAATTGACAGATCATCAATTCCTGTCCCTTCCCAAGGACTCCAGAAAGCTAACTTCATTGAATATGCACAGTAGACAGGCCAAAACTCGACCTGCCGCTATTAGGAAAGTATATTGTAGCTCGTATTTGACGTAACAGATGACCTGTTCAATGCTGACAAACATCCAGTCCTCTCCTCTTTGCTTGGTAAATGAAACTTTCCTCTTGGAAGTTTTATCATTGAATGTAATGCCTATAACTACCCTTCTCCTAATTCTTACCCCAAACATCTTCCGGATGACCCCATCCAAAATACCTTTGACATTACTCCTTGTCGACTTTTTCGAGGAAGTCCTCGCAGTCTGAAGCAATCGGACAAGGTCCTCCAAATGCAATTTAAACAGATTCTTAACAGACCAAGGGACCGAAAGCAGCCTAATAAGGAGTCTCTTGTCACTAGTCAGCCCTGGTTTACCTTGAATGATCCGAACCACTCGAAAATCGCCACCTTCCTGGAAGCTTTTTTTGCATTCCTTAAGGAACTGAGCTTAACCATTCTTGCGCAACACAGAGTCACCGTACTTTCTCTTCATCGCCGACCACTTAGCAACCCATAGACTACCTTTGGACGAAGAGAACTCTTTCGGTCTTTCCTTCAATAGGTAATCCAAATCATAGAACTCCCTTCCC